TGCAGCTCCATGGAAGGGCATGACGCAGATGCTAACACGTCACTTCTGCTTGCATCCTTTTGGCAAAAACTTAGTCACATGGTCACAACTAGCTACAAGAGAGGTGGGAAAAATTGTCTTATACAGGCAGCCCATGTGCCTATCAAAAACTCAGAGAGTCTATTTCTAAAATAAAAAAGTGGAGAATGGATATTGGAAGACCGTAGCAGGTGTGCTATATTTGCCATCTTTTGGCAATTGCCAAAGGAACTAGTTGTGGAGCTTTAAGCTTAGATGTGAGTATGTAATGAAGGGGTTAAATGGATGTCTGTGCAGACACAATTCTATTTATGCATCTTATGCTCCACATAACCTTACTTCATTCATTTTTATATTCCTGCCATCTAGCTTAATATACTACTGAAAATAAGCACATCATACATGGTTTGGAATGAATGAAGGAACATCCCTTTTTGCCTTTCTAGTGTAATCTGGATTATGTGTGAATTTTTTTTCATACTTGCCATTTATTTGTTCCTATCTATACTTTACTTACTTTTTAAAAGAGGATTTAGAAGTAGAGATGATCATAGTCCATAGTACAATAGAGACATGCTTTGTGTCTTGTGTGTGTGTAAGATCTGAGAAATCTGAATTAACTTCTACCACAGGACCAACTTTCCTTAACCCCCAAAATGATAGTATTAACTCTACTATTAAGTCTTAATTATTAATAGAGTGGTTGTGTGTTTTTTGAAGGTTCGGGACTGTGTCCGAGAATTATAAAAACATTCTTGTTTTTCAGCTGATACCTGATGTCATTAATTAGTTTGTGAAGATGTTTTCTCTGAACTTTATGTGTGTCTTTTACATATTGACCAGCTATCTCTGGAGAAGATAAGATGGCCTGAGGAATGAGAGTTTTTTGATATGATTTTTCACATCTCAAAAGAGGCATTTTATTGAGTTTTTGGCCACTGTACCTATTTTTAGCCTTCTGTTAACCTCCAGATTCATTTGTTCATGTGTTAATTCCTACTACACATTTTTAATAACTCTTAAATGCTGCATGCTGCAGTAAGTGCTGGGAATATGAAGATGGACCAGACCCAACCTGCATCTCTCTGAGCTTAGTGTCTCTGACACACAGTGTGGGGGTCTCTTTGCCAGGCCCCATACTGTGCAGTAACTGAGGGGCAAGCAAGGAGCTCTGGGAGGCATGGGGGGCAGGCAGGGTGTTGACGGACTTGAGGTGAGTCTTCATAGTTGAATAAGAGCTTGTCAGTAATGAGCTGGGGGGAGGGCATTGGGGGCTGAGGGCACTGGATGCAGGCTAATAATATGGCAACAGTTTCATTTGGTGAGAGTGAGGGATACGGTGTGGGTTAGAGGTGGAGTGGGAGACCTGGGACCAGGGCCCCTCAGACACCATGCAAAGGAGTGTGAACTTGATATCCCTCAGTCAGTAGCTTTGAAACTTTTTTGTGTGTGACCCATAGTAAGACATACCTTTTTACATGGTAATTTATTACCAGGCCTGGTCCTATCACTTGCGGGGCCTGGGCAAGAGGACAAATGGGGATACAAGGTAGCTAATTATTTAAGAAGTTACAAGTCAAGGCAATAAACTCTTACAAAAGGATATACCAGTCTACCTTGACAAATGTACCTTATAACAAAACCCGTGAAAATTGTGTGTAAAACCACTGATACCAAATAACTGAGAAGAGTGCAAATTTAAAGTTAATTTAGACTTCCACCAGAAGACTGTCATTCATCCTGGGGAAACGCAGGGACGATGGCATCGAGGCCAAGTAGAGGCGAGGAGGAGAAGGCTCCCCCAGCCGTCCCTTCCGATGGCTGTGGCATCCGTCCTTTGTTTTCTTCTTTATGGGGGGGGAGGGGCTCTTCTATGTGTCCTACCATTGCCCCTTTCCTATCCGTACCAGCCAGGCACCTGAGTTCCAAGGGCCATCTAGACTGTGCCAGTCTGGTTTAAGGGGCAGCCTCTGGCCTCTTGGTGCTCTGGCTTCCTACTCTTGCGGAAGGGTTTGAGTTAAGAATTCTCTGAGCAGAAATGTGGAAGACTGGGCAAGTATCTTCCCCTGTCCTCTTTGCTCGCCCATCCTTCTGTCCTCAGGTCCAGTCTCCCTCCGTCCAGCAGCAGCCTTTGACCACCCCTTGGGCTGGAGGCACACACACACTAGTCGCACAACTTGACTTAAAGAAAGGGCTTTAATCCCTAGGCTGAGGAAGCCAGCTCAGGGCCATTTGGGTGGAGAATGCTGGGGACCCTGGTACTTGGAGCTTCAGATAGAAGGGACTCCTTACCTGGTGGGGAGGAGGACACAGCCGGAGGAAGGCCAGAGCGGAGGTCTTTTTGCTCACTTGTGAGGGTGGTACCGTACAACACACACGTGCGGTTGTGCACACAGACAAGTGCACATACATGTAACTTACAAGTTGCACAGAATTGCCCATACTCTCTCTATGTGAAGTGCATTTGTCTTCTTTTCTATTCTATTTCAGTTTACTGTTTATTTGCTTATTATTTATTTATTTTTAACGATTTTATTTATTTTTTTGATAGAGAGAGAGAACAAGAAGGCAGAGCGGCAGGCAGAGGGAGAGGGAGAAGCAGGCTCCCCGCTGAGCAGGGAGCCCGATGCGGGGCTCGATCCCAGGACCCTGGGATCAGGGCCTGAGCCGAAGGCAGACGCTTAACGACTGAGCCACCCAGGCGCCCCTATTTCAGTTTTTTAAAAATACGAGTTGTAATCCACTAAATGAATTTTATAATCCATTATTGGGTCAGTTTGTGACCCAAGTTTGGAAAGCTCTGCTCTAGTTTTTGAGGTGGTGGTGTTGTGATCAGATTAGTGTTTTGGAAACTTCTGGAAGCTGATGGGATGATAGATTGGAAGGGAGTGTGGGATACTGGTTATGAGCTTCTGAGCAAAAGATAGGCCTGAAGATGGTAAGAGTGAGAGCAGAGAGGAGGGAAGGTGGTAGAACCAACAGGTCTTGGTGACTAGTTTGATATTGGGGATGCAGAAGAAAGCTGGAACAATGTCATGATATCCAGTTTCAAATGCTATATTGCAGGGAGTTATATTTGAAGGAAAAGGAGTTGAATTCAGCTTAGTACATATACCATTTGAAGCCCCAGGACAACCTTCAGGTAGTATTGCTCGTTCGTTGGAGAGAGGTTTAGTCAAGTTGGGACTGTAACAGAGCTTTTGGGTTGAGCGATAGGAAGCCACTGATAAACTTTAGGAAGGACCCATTGTAGTGGCTCCGAGAGTGAATATATTGGGAGGTCAGGAGAAGAAGACATACGGTAGAGTTTCTCCGTTCCATATACTTGATTGTAAGCGCAGGAAAGTAGGGCACCAATTTGAAGGAAGGCATTCATCTGATCCCCGAGCACTGCTCTGCCGAAGGGAGGGGGGACCTGCAGAAACCTGGGGATTGAAGACACAGCAGAGAGGAGCGATTCGCGCAGTCTGGTTTCAGGCTGGATGAGAGAATGTCTTTTAGCGTAGAAGTGGAGGGAATCGTCGACAGAAGGAAGGACGCCTCTTATGCAGGTGAGGAGTCCGTGCGTGGAAGCAGAAGACCCCCTCAACAGACAGTTGTGTGCAAACACTGTGTCCGTGCTGTGACCAGTGAGGAAGATAGGCAAGGAAGCCAGCAGGGCATGGGGCAAGTGTCCTTTAGACTGGGGCTCAGGGAAACAAAGAAGAGGGCCTGCAGCAGGGCTTTCCAGAACAGAAGAGAGGACAAAAAGCAAAAATGGTCTGCACCTGAAATGGTAGTCAGGGACGGGTCAGGGAAGGATTGAGAGGACACTGTGGCTAATGAGCCAGGGCTTGGGAAAAATGCGCACCTGGCTTGCAGGGCTGGCTATTGATAACCACGGTCCTCATAACACTTTTTTTTTTTTTTTTTACAGTTATTGACTTAGTTTAAGTATCAGGTGAAACTTTACTTGAGAATACTTGAGAAAATGGGTCTTTATGACAAAGGAAACTGCTTCTTGCTTCTCCTTTCCTCCTCTCCCCTTTGATGACTTCTCTTGAAACTAATTTAGGTAAAGAAAGCCACTGCTTCCAAAAGTGCTTTGGTACCCTGGCATAATTTCAAAGAAATCTCCTTTCCCACTTAGTTAACTACATTTCCCCAGGAAAAAAAAAAAAAAAAAAAAAAATCTCTGTCAATGTAACATCCCTTAACAGGACTCCTGCTGGTGGGTTCTTGTATCTTGCTGTGGCAGCTGTGAACATATATACTATTGATTGTTAATGTGTGATATAAATCCGACTGGAGCATGCCCACTAATTGGTTTGAGAGCTAGATATAGACAATGCTGTCTTATAGTAGCTTGTGTAGATAGGCCTAGTCATAGGGTTAATTCTGCTTGACAGCACACCAGCAGCATCTTGAGAGTAATTACCCAACAGAAGTTTTCCCACAGCCGAACTGAGAGCTTCAAAGGCTTCTGAATTTACAACCAGTATTAACCTATATCTGAAACATAACGTTCCCACAAGGGCTCAGATTCTTTTTTCCTCTTTCTTATTAAATGTATGGGGTTCCTAGGTTCATTTACTCGGTGAAGAACTTAGTGAAAAATTACTTGGTGTTGAATAATTGAAAATCTTTTAATAATAAGAGGATAAATTTAAATTTGAGTTTTTTATTGCTTTATTATGTTACGGAAACAAGTTAATCTGCCTTTTTTTGGTCCATAATTTATCCTCCTTCTCTCAAAACAAGTTAAAAAGTTACTATCTTTCTCATACAGTGCTACCTCCACAGATAATGTGCCTGTTTCGGGGACCTAGGATAATGTATCCGTCTAAAATAGTTAAAATAGATTTGTGTTGACATTTAAAAAAGTGATTTTCCTCGTTGACCAATGTACTGAAATCTGTAACCATTGCATCCCCTCCCACGGAGTAACAGTTGCTCTTTAATAAGCAATTTTTATATTGTAAAAAAATTCTTTCTCTTTTCAGGTCAGAAAGCAAATTTGACTCCGGTTCAGGTATGTTTACATTAATAATGTTATTCTGAGTATATTTTATTTACATTATTCTCCGAGGAATAACTCATCAGATCAAGAACCTTTTTGATTTTAAACAGACTAGGCAGCCTCTTTTAAAAACATGAACCCCCCCTCAAAGCAGGGCTATTGGCTGCTTGGAATCTTGAGATGTTCACTTTGGGATTCTTGATAGTTCTGTAATAAGCATTAAATGCCCTATATCTGCAGAGTTTCGTTTTAAATGCAGAAGTAAGGGTTATACATACTCATTGCTCAAAATAGAATATTATTCTCTAAGTAGATAAAGCATCCTGAATAATTTGAAGATTATGTGCAAGTGACTTGTCATCAAATGTGGGTAATAAATACATTTAACCCGGCAAACTATAGTTTATGTGCTGCTGAAGGGAGCACTAATCCAAAAAACTATAAAGAGTTTTAGCCAATAGAAATAGAAATTTGTCTATGATTCGTTAGTTTTTTAAAAAATTTGTTGGGGGTGTAATGGAAAACTAAGGTCACCTTAAGCCATTGTTTTGTATCTATCAAGACAGAATTCACATTTTCAGAAACAGTGGCATATCAACCTCATTAGATGTCTTCTTTTCATTAAGCATGAATGTAGCCATATAATCCTTAGGTTAGACTGTGTCTTTATGTCATTTGCTGAGATTTATGTGCTCCAGAGTTCTAATGGTGTTTATAATTAAAGCACGAAAAATTGTCTCGTATTCATACAAAGGAATTATGCCCTTTAGTGAACTGTTAATAGGTAAATAAACATTGATTTTCAATTCCGGGAGAAAATAATTTAACAAAGAAACATACAATTTATTGAATTTAAAAGTAACATTCTTACTCTGGTTTGAGTTCCATTATGTTTTAACTTAAAAAAAGTTTTTGTTTATTATGTTCACATAGGAACTAAGGACTATATATATATATCTATATATATCTATATATAGATATATATATCTTCTTTTTGGTCATGATGTTAAGGAGCTAATGTGCTTTTCTTCTTTAAAAGCTTCATCTTTCTTTTATTGTATACCTTTATGAATGTCTCCAACTTGGGGAGACTCTTTAAATATGAAGTGTGTACATTTGAGTTAACAATTTCACCTAATTTGATAATCATGATTCTAGAAATCTGTCCATTCTGTGTGCTCTTGGGTTTCTGAATCACATCTGACAGTGAAAGCATAAGATATACATTTCTGGATTACAATATTGACTAAATGGAGACTAAAGGCATGGTGGTATTATATCGATGATTTGACTTTTTATTGATTCATAGGAGGTGACTCAAAATAAGGTGAAAAGTCTTTGTCATTTTTAAATATTAACATCTTTAAGTATAATAAAAAATAAATGGAGAAAATTGATGGAATATGAATTTTTACATAAAAGTTGGATGTCTTTTTATATCATTGCCAGTAAGTCACCAAATATTTATTAAGAGCCTACTTTGTTATGATCTGATTTAATTCCCTAAACATCAGGTCAGAAACTGGTTTTAGGGTAAAGGATCTGGAACGTAGCTCTTAAAAATGAAAAAGCCCACCAGGTTCATTTTGAAGGGAAAACCTGGAAATAGTGTACAAAATTGAAATATTAGGCAGCTATTGTCAAAGTCAGAAAATTTATGTTGAATTTTCAAATCCAAATTGAAGTGTGCTGCTAAATTCTTGTAGTGATAGTTATAACATCTGTACAGGCACACATCTTTCACTCTGGTGACCAAAGACTTTGCTCATGATTCTTATTTTTTCCAAGTCCTAATTAAAAAAAAAAAAATGTTTATGATGGACAACATCTGCATATCTTTGAAAACCACAAAGTTCTGTACTCTGAAAAATCTTACAGGGAATACTGATTAAAAGTTTATTTATTCTTTTAATTTTGAAATTAAATTTGTTGTGGAAAGAATTCAGATGGTTTCAAATTAAGAAACAGGTAATTATGTTTTCTTATAAGCTCTTTTAGCTTAGTATCAGATGAGGGAATCATGACAAAGGAAGCTAGAACTGTGTTCTTTGGCATGCTATATCATGCAAATTTTGGTTAGAAATAAGATGTCATATTGGAACAATTAAATGTATGACTTTAGTAGGTTCAGATTTTCTATTGTTCATCAAATACAAAAAGTAAACTAGCTCTGCTTAATGTTGTATACAGCTGTAACAGTGTTCCTGACAAAGTAAGATTTTTAAATGAAGGAAGATGCCAATCTTACTAAGAAAAAAAAAACACTTAAAAATAAATAGTTGGGTTAATGACTAGCCATAAAGGAAAGGATTTCAAAATAAAATTTTACATATATATATATATATATATATATACACACATACATATTCCCTCCCAAGTAAGGAACCCAGCTTATGCAGAGCTTACTGCACATTTGCAATTTGTGTAAATGGATTTCTTACTGTGGAGTGAGATTCACGAGGAAGGAAGGAAATTTTTCATTGTTAGCACATGGTGAAAAATGTCAGTCGTTGAATACATACCCAAACAATCAGCCTAGAGAGTGATTTAATTTTTTTTTTATCGAAATTGTATCAACTTTTTTTCTACAAAAGCAAATCCACAGACAGCTTGTTTTTTTTGTTTCAAAAAATTTTATAATGAAATAGTTCAACTATATATAAAAATACAGTGTAGTATAATGAACACCCTCATATCCATCATCTAGATTTTACAATTGTTAATAATTTGCCATATTCATTCCACTTTTCTTTTTTTGCTTGAAATATTTTAAAGTAAAATACATATATTTCATGTCATTTTTAAAGCCTGAAGATTATAAGTGCCTTGACTTAGTGGAAGAGATCAACTGTTTTTTTGAGGTTTTCATTTGTCTCAGAAATTTGAGTCACATACAGATTCTTAGGGAAAGGATCGTGGCATTACCATGTCCCCATTCAGTTAAAGAGACATCGGAAGTTTTATCTGTGGTGAAGGTTAAGAAAACCTTCAACCAGAAGGTAGTGGCACTGAATTAATTCTGATCCAAGAACCCCAGGAATGTTCTGTCCTCAAGATCAATTTGATTAACACTTTAGCTGCCATCTAGCTGTGTCCTCTGTATCCTGAGGTATATGCTGATTAAACTCTGTTTCTGTTAATTTGTAACTCAGTCACCTCAAGTTTTTGGCTTTGCTGATTGAGAGCAATCAACCTACCTTCTTTCTAAAGGAGTTTTTAGGTTTCCGTTTTAATACTTTTTCCTAGTTGATGTACTAATGTTGCTTGCCTGCAATCGTGTGTAGTTGGTGATTTTACTAATAGAGTAAAACAGACTTCCTTTTATGTTCAGAAGTAGCAAGAAGCTCTGCTCTTCTCCCCATCTCCCAAGAAGGGAAGTTAGTTGATGCTAGAGGTAGCAGAGCATTGAGTTTAATGTAGTGATTAAACATGAAAGCTATATATCAAATCTCAGGAGAAACATGCTCTTGAAAGAGGCAGGGAACTGTGGAGCGTATTGCATGATAGGCTATGTAAACAGAGCCCTGGAGGACAGTGTGTGGATGCAAACCAATTAAATAAAGAAATTACTGGCTTTGCTTTCTATCATCTGGATGGGGAGGATCACAAGTTAACATGCACAGGGTTGAAGTGTAAACTTTGCTTGAATAAGTTATAGGCACCTCTGGAAACGTCATTAACTCTTTCAATTCACTACCACGTTCTTTTTCGTTTTTTTTTTTTATTATTTATTTGAGAAAGAGAATGAGATAGAGAGAGAGCATGAGAGGGGGGAGGGTCAGAGGGAGAAGCAGACTCCCTGCTGAGCAGGAAGCCGGATGCAGGACTTGATTCCAGGACTCCAGGATCACGACCTGAGCCGAAGGCAGTTGCTTAACCAACTGAGCCACCCAGGCGCCCCTTTTTCGTTTTTAAATTTAACCAAAAGAAGTTAAATCAAAAACAAAATATATGCTCTCTTTGCCCTTCTGCCCATGTCCATTAGCAAAGGTGCTAGTGATGAGAGGAATGGAAGAGAAACAGAAGATGAACCGCTGAGAAGAGCAGAGTTGACTGTGCAGTCAGATTTCAAGAACGTGCACGGTCTTAAAAGCAACCCATTTGGAAAAGCAGAGCTCTTGCAGAATAACTGAAAAAAGATGTTTTCCTCTTCTCCTAAATACTGGGTATAAGGCAAAGCTGTAGTTGGAATTTACCAGTCACTACATGGCATCAGGATAGTGTTATTTCCGTTCTATTAACATAGAATAGTTTTTTGACCAAGAAGAACCTGAAGCCTCTAAGTTAATAACTATATGTTAAGGACTGCCCAGAGTCCAATTCTATGGTCTTAACCTTCTCAGGCAATGTTTGGATGAGAAAATGAAATGTCAAGTTAAAATGGTATAGTTTCATGGTCCATAAACATTCAAAACAAAGATTTTTTTTTCTTTCTTCTGTAGAGTCATGTTGGCTGAGAAAATGAGTAAGCTTATGTTTAGTGCTTGTTGATTCTGGGCTGCTTGGAATAGCTATACTAAGGAAATGGGCTCATAGAACACAGCAACTCAAAGGTATAAGATTTCATGAAAGCAAATTATGGAGGATTAAGAAACCTAATGAGCATGGTTTAGTGTGGAGAGTAGAGGAGGGAGCTCACTATTAAATAAAGCCCAAGAGTGTACAAGGTTAGGAGATCCTAAAAGACACGGTAATAAAAGGCACAACAGAATATAATTATCCTGAAGGAAAAAAACCAAAAAACAAAAAACAAAAAACCCGAGGAACAAAAAGCAGCTAGTGTCGCTTTTAAGATCTGTATAAAAAGGCCTCTACATCGGGGTAAGGAAATCAAAGAATATAATCAGTTAAAGCTTGAGGCAAAAACATAAGGGCAATGAAAAATACAGTGGACTGTTAATGGTGGTCACTAAGTTGAAGGGAAATGAGGAATTTGAATATGGTAGAACTAGAGTTTTGAAAGCTTGTGAACAAATGAGACAGTCTGCTTAACATAGTAAGATTTTCTCAAG